CTAAAACTAAGGAGCTATATCAACCTAGATAACACGATGCACTAATGATAAGTCTAATTAACGAAACCTGAAAAAGTGTTTGAATTCGATAGAAATAATTCAGAAAGGAAAAAGGATGCTTGACGGAAAACAAAACAAAATGGCGGAAGACGAATGGGCAAGGTTCAGAGTAAATTTTTGCAAAAAGCAGTAACCATGACTAAAATAACGTTTTCATACCAAACTTATCACCAATAAGTGAACAGATATTTCTGTGTTGACCCCAAGGAAACTCTCTCTTTGGCGGCAAATCTCAGCCTTGTAAATTGAAAGTTTAAACTATGAATTCAGTTATAACAGCAGGAAATTCAGATAAAATCGGTATCTAAAGTGAGAATAATCTCGCCTCGTGGATTGTCCTTATAATGTAATTCAGTTCATAACATAGTTCTCAGCTCATAACATAGTTCTCAGCGAACATTTTTAAATTTTCAAATGCAGTAACACGATTTGAACCCCCAAAAAAGTGCGATGAAAATCTGGGAAAAAAAACTCCGAAAACGAATCACCTGATGGGTGTTTAAGACATCTTCAAGCCTTCGCTTGAAGTTTTGACTGAGGTGAAATTAAGCCGCAAAAACAGGAAATTGAACGGGAAAAAGAATGAAACAGAACAGGCTTTAGAGACAATATTGTACCCGAAAAAAGAACTAAACGTACCAGTAAACTATTAAAGATCGATCCTTTTCTTCTGGTAAACTTTTCAATTTTAGTGCAAAGTTGACTATGTCAGCCTTTTAAGTCAGCGAAGTCTGAAAAGGTGATTAATTTGGTTTATACATTATGAAACAAGCTGATTGCTGGCGCCGTTTGCAGCTCTCTTTGATTGGTTGATAGAGAGGAAGCTACCAAGTGGATTGCTCATATTTGACGTATGTGCGACTGTCGAAGACAAACTAATGATCAATTAACTCTTACGCGCAACAGAGTTTTTTTTGATAAGTCTCAAGGAAGACTTTAAGGGTTTCGTTAGTGTTGTTTTCATCTTTCGCATACTCCTGATGCGATCGATACGAAGCACAAATAAGGCTGTTGGATGTATTTCGCAAACTGAAATCAAAATACTAAAAAGCGGAATGATAGTGGAATAATAAATCTTTTATTCAGTGGGTTAACATATATAATACAAGCAGACATTCTGCTAATTTCTCGTATATTCCTCGCCCCCTCGGGGTCCGGAAAAATGCCAAGCAGCCGTCAAAATATCCGCGCTTATCATATGTTAAACTAACGAAGCCAAGGTCAATTTAGATGTATTTCACTTTAGTTATTTTTAGAGGGCCACAGGATTATCACTTTTTTGAAACTGCTAAGTGCTATCCTCTCTAAGTAAAGTATGCTGATATTGTTTTGACTAACTCAAAGTTATTCGGGAAGATGTGCACGAATCAGTTGTGAATTTAGAGATGAAGCTTGATAAGACACTGATATTGATGACTGAATCCAAACGGACAACTTTATCACTGCACTAAACCAGATGTGATCTGAAAAAACCATTATATTTATGACTGTGAATGTGTGAAAATCATATATGTGAACTGCAGTTTAAGAAATGAGTATGAAAGCGATCTTCGCAGTAATGAACATTACTTAAGCAGCAGTGAAAATATGGCCTGAAAAAAGTGAGTCCGTAAAAATGGAGCCGGATCGGATCAACCCCTCCCTTCCTATTTTTCCGCAACAAAATTCACCATTCAGAACACAGAGGAAAAGTTGTAGAATTGTTTTATAACAAAAAAAATAAGAGGAAGAATTTACAAAAAGGAGAAAGCAGAGGAAGCCAAATTGGTGAACCTCCCTATCAGACCTGGTCCGACATTTTTGCCGTGACTATCGGTCTTAATTGGTTCTTCGACTGCAATACTGGTCCCAGTTGTTTAAAGGTTGGATAACGCTATCCACTGGATAAAACTCTATTCGGTGAGCTGCCTCCCTATTTCTATTGGTGCAAAGAATTTGTTTCGCGGGGTCTTGTTTTCGCGATTTCCATGAGCAGATATGAAAAAAGGGCATTAAATTTTGCGATCGAAGCGTTCTCAACTTTTTTTGACCGCGTGAGATCTGGGTGCGAACATGGCGCGAGCTTGATAAGTGTCAACTTGCAAACAAACGTGGCGGCTCGATACGATCGCACGGTTGTTATCTGAAAAGGTGTGTTAAAAACAGTTTCACACAATACAGTTTTTATTTAATGGAATCTGGGGTTTCCAGCAAATGCACCCGTAATATTTATAGGCCTTTTACGCCTGAAAAAGAGGTCAACCGAAAAGAAAACACCTTGGGAAAGATTGCCAAAAGGCGACAGACCGCGACAGATTCGAAAGTTTACTCATACGTAGATATAGAACTTGGCGAGGTTCTATTCCGTTTCGTAATATTTTGCGACAAAGAAAATAGGAATCTTGCAAGATTTATCGCGTTTCCTTCGGCGGAATTTCCAAAGATTTACTGGACAGTTAAACATATTTATGCCCTTCCTAGTGTATGTTGATAAAGAAAGAAATTCATAAGACAAAATTTTAGATTGAGGAAGAAAACACAAAATTGCAAATAGCGAGGGAGCTGCCAACGTAACCCCTATTTTTTTCAGCCTTTAAATCATCGGCAAGACAAATTTTATAAATTGTGAAAATTTTGAGATATTTCACGGAAGCAAATTGAAGAAAATTAAACGCAAAGCCAAGATTATCGCTGGTGAGCGCCTCCCTTTGTGGAGCCTTAACTTAATGATGAAAATCGTTTTGATAATATTTACTACAGAAAGCGATAGTCGGAACCTTGCTCGTCGCCCTTTTTATGGCTTTTAGTGACCAAGAAAAGCGAAAACATAAACATTTAAATAAATATATTACAATAAATAAATACATTTAAATAAATAATACTTTAATTTTAAAATATCCCGCGGGTATTTTGATGCTGCTGCCTTCATTACTCCTAAATGGCCATATACGGTCATATTTTAGATCAATTAATAAAACTCATTGCTATCAAAGTTGATCTCCTTTTCATGATATGGAGGTAAAATCAGTCAACGAAATCATTCCGCACGAGAAACAAGACAAGATCAGCAAGAATTGTGAGCGTGTCCAGCTAAGGAAAAAAACCGCTACTCAGAAAAATTTACAGAAAACTGACCAAATTGAAAGATGCAGTCTGTCTGCGGTCTTGACCATAAGAGTAATTATTAACACTGTTTTCAAAATTCATCAGGACTACAGCCTCAGAGTACAAAAGAAAGAATAATCTTATAGGAAAAAAATCTGCGACTATGTCAAGCTCCAAAACGTTTTTCTCTTTCTCCTTCATTGCCTGAGATCTCTTCCATGTGAGATTTTTGCCATAAAACAGAGGTTGAATATTTCAGAGAAAAATACGCTACGTAAATGTAAATTTTTACGTGACTCCTTTAGCAGAGCATATCGCCTTACGTTAATGAAAAAAAGTTCATGACAGGTCCGTCTAGTCTAGAGCGCATTTCAAGGAGATCTTCCAAGTAGTTCAAGTGATATCAGACTCTCCGTGCATTACTTCAGCATTTGTTTCTTTTTTCTTCCAAGTATTCTCATGACAAGATTGTAATCATTCTCAAGAACCTCATTCAATTATGCTCTATTTGACTTTCAAGAGAATTTAGAATATTTCGGTATCGTTCAGCTTAAAAGAGAGGTTTAGTTTCTAAATTTCTTGGTACCACAAGGAAGTAAGCAAGCCATATATTTAAGTCTCATTAACGTTTAAACACACACTAAAAGCTATCTAGCGGATTGATTGTATAATTATGAAAACGTCGTGAAAACTTAAAAAGTACAGCTGTGAATAATTTTGACTTAATTTACGTCGGGGAGTGGTTGAAGTCGGTCTCGTATCTATGCATACACTTAACAACTCATTTAGATAAAATTTTGACAGATAACATTTTCCGTTCGATAATAAATAAATCTTCGAGGGCCTGAAAAACAAGCTACTAAGACTCTTACTTTACCCAAAAGGATAATTGTTAATTATTATAAGATGATTTGAAATAACTTGCACGAATTTTGTTGTCAATTTGTCGAACGCACCCTTAGAATATTTAGCACCTGAATCGAAATTTCTCACCTTATCCAAGCTAAAGCAATTGGATGTTTTCCACTTTGCATGATTCCTCTTTCGATATTAATGAAACGCCGGCGATGCTCCAATAAAATTTGCAATGACCATAGGCAGGATTTTTCAATTTCGATACGACAACAACAGAAACAACCATTGTTGTAGTGAATTGCTTTCATTTCAGAACTTTGCGTTTTAAACATGACTTATCGTTTCGCCAGTTTGAAGTTTCACTTTATTAATGAGTATTTGGATAATAAACTGGTTTCTTTACGAAGGAATTGACTAGCGTACAAATGAATGGAGACAGTTTGTCTTTTCGTTTTCTTTAGTCTGTCATTTAGGCTTTATTTCTTTCAGACATTTCATTATCCGTAATAGAAAGGACTTACCTTAGTAAACATCTATCAATATACTGTTTCATCATCCTACACATTATGCAGCTTTAAAAATTGATCTGATCTTAAAACCTTTTAAGTCAATTTAATTATTTATGCTATGAGTTATGATTCACCTTAAATTATGATTGAAAATCGTCCACGTTGCAATGAGGCGAGTTTACGGTATTGATCCAAGTTAGCTTTAAACTGTTTTCTCGCTGTTTGAAATAAACCAAGTAAATTATTGATGCGCCCAAAACCTGCATGCAACTGATTGATATTACCTATCATTTATCTTCTTCAGTGGGTCGTTTATAGAAGGAATGTTGCGCCGCACGACTTCGTTGAACAAACCGACGATATAAATCATTAAATTATTATTTGTCATAGGTTTATGCGATTTGCTTCAAATCCTCTTTTATTGGCCTGCCGTAACTTAGCTTTTCCCCCTTAAAAGTTTCCCAATTTTTGTTCCATTTACAAGGATTTACCCAAACGAGAGCACTTGTATACTTTCGGTTGAAAATACGAAAATCAGCTTAGTCTATGGGTTAAGCTTTTTCCAAGCTTCTCCGGCTACTGGCGTGTGAAAATGACAAGTAAAAATTAATTGCAAATTCATGAAAAGGAGAAGTGTCACACGAGGTACACCTGCCATCAGTATCAGTCCAATGAAGGCCACTATTTCAGTTTTTGGTAATTAAGATTTTAACATCATTGTGCTCCTCGGATATCAATATATGTACAGACAATACCAAAACAATTTTACTTCTATGGAGCCATTGAAAATGAAAGAGTTAAAAATAACAGTGTCTTTCTGGTAGAGATTTGCATTTTATACCTTGAAATATGACCTTGATATGTGTTTGTCTAAGACATTTTACACGTAACACTTGGATCAATTTTTCATAAGTAATAATAGCTGGTATATCAAACAGATCCGAAAACATTTGGACTTATCGTCATTCAAGACAGAAAGCGTTCATCAAAGCTGCCGGTAGTCTGTTTAAATTGATTTTCCCCTGTAAGTGCTTTGGAAATTGCAAGCAGTCTAATAAATTTTCCTTTGGAAACGATCATTAAGCTTAAACTTCTAGGCGGTTTAAAAAGAACACTCTGACTGTCGTCAGTTCGCTAATACAAATCTGACATAGACAAAGTTATTAGCAGCAATTGCTCGCAGTATCTTCAAAACCAGACCGTTTTTTTATGGTCGTTTTAAATTTCTTTCCTATATATAAATATTTTTATCAGATATTACATCATCCCATGAATACAAAGATTCAGCAAACTGGAATTATCAGAAGATTGTCCTTATCTGCTTCGCTGTAGTTTCTATTTTTTGTTTTTTTGTAATGCAGATGTAGAGGTAAAATCCGTCGAATTCTTTTGTTTGCTTCGTAAATTTTTAAATAATCCCTTGTTATTCTTTTGTGTTTCCCGAGGTCACAGATCCTTGATATTTCGTTCTAATATTCAAATTCGCGCTTCCTTATTTGACTAAATTTTTTGTTTCACGTCACGCTGGTGGAAGTCTTCCTATTCTTGTTATCAGACCTTGCCAAAACCACAACGAAAGCAAAAATGTTTAATATAGACGATAAGAACCCTCCAAAGAATCCCCGCTTTCGCTGACGAGTCTCTTTGCCGCCGGCAAAACCTGAGGGTTTGTTGATTTTGTCGTTGAAAGGTGAAAAGTTTCACTGACGGAGAAAGGATGACTCCTGTGGAGTTTGAACCAGCCACAAATGATCTCACGGAAATCTTTGGTGAGGAAAATGTATATAATAGGATCGACTGAGGCTATCACATTTGGAGTCATACTCATTATTGTACTCAGAAAACCATGATTGGGTATGCAATCTGGGCAGTGAACCTCTATAATCGTTACAGCGGAGAAAGTGCTCCAGAAAAGAAGGACAGGAGCAACGAGAACAAGGATATGAAATGCTATTTTCAGGTTCTTTGTGAACACACTAGCTTCGCCATTCTGATCTTGTCCACGGTGCGGGTTGTGTCGTAGGTGTCGCGAAGCGATAATAAAGATGTTCATATAGCAATATAGTATGACATACAAAGGAATCACTGCATTGGTAAGTCCCATTAACGAGAGGTAACCGTATTTGAAATAATTCTCATTGGGAAGATAAAAGAGCAATTGCAGTAATGCCATCACCGTCGCATAACTCCAATTACAAGCAATAAAAATTATTGCTTTAGTGTGGGTAATATTGGTGTAGTAATGGAGAGGCTTGGTGACGGAATAGTACCGATCATAGCTTATGATGGTCACCGCTGCCATGCATCCTGAGTAGCAGAATTGTTCTATAATGAGTAAAGTCTCCTTCAAGTAATAAAAATTATCAGTTGACATTCTCTTTTGCAGGGCCGGCGCTGCTAACTGGATACAGAGGAGAATTATAAATAATATGTCAATAACAGCCAGGTTGACAACAAAATAGTTATTCACGGATCGTACTCGTCTGAAATAAGCGAAGGAGAAACATATAAAGGGATTGGCAGAGAATCCCAGTACAATCGCCAAATAGGCCACGATGTGGTAACCAAGGGGTATTTTAAACCCGGTGTCATCGTCGTTCGAAAGAGAAGCATTTGTTGGAGTTGAATTATCCATCTTGTGAACAGTTTCAGCTTCTAATCAAGAGCACATCCTCATCGCGGAAAGCCGACCATGTTCGCAATGTTCGCCCTTCAGAAATTTTCGATTTTGAAAATATCTTAGTTTTTTTTACGCGTGTACAAAACGGAACCGCTATCGATGTACCTTCACGACGGAAAAGTCATCACTGTGTAAAATGATGATTGATAGAGGAAATCCGATATTTTTGCTTCGAGAAGCTGACCTTTTTTTTGTTCCAAGACGTTACAAGCGTGATTTTCCTGATGTAAAACTTCCTTCAGTGTTTGTGGTCAAGAGAGCTGCATCGGGTGATTTTGGTTTTGAAAATAGATTTTCATCAAAAATAGTTTTTGTTTATATAAGCTCATAATTAAGCATCCCAAGAGCCTTTGGTGCCCCAGTGGTAACAGACACCTCACTAGTGTTTGTTTGTTTTTCAAGGAGTACTTTTCAAAGTTAATGCCTCCCACATCTTGACTTAATCTTTGGACTTTCCTACAATGGGGCGCCTATTTGAGGCGTCGGATCATTTGAATTCAACCCAAGTTGTCAATACGTGGCAGGAACAGTCTTCAGATAACAGTGGGAATCCAAAATGAAAACCATTTAGCTCAGTAAACTTATCTTTTTATCTTAACTTTAATACCTGCTCGGAATAAGACGCAGAGACACTGTTTAAATTGACAGCGAATGACGCCCACCACTCACTAATTTATGTCTTAAGGCAAGTTACAGGTGTTACAACCCTACCAACTCTCTCAAATGAACACCGGACATTATGCAATATTCATTCGCATTTAGCTAAATAAACAAAATCGGTGGAGCTCGCTTTCAGGATAAAAGCAAAATTAGTGATTTCATCCAAGAAGATAATGAGCTCTTTGACAAAGTGTCACGGAACCCATAACTTCGAAATTTAATCAGGTTCTATATCACCAAGGATCATAACTTTTCTTAGCAGTATCGTAACCGGTGCATCGGATATTAACAGGTTTCGAAAGCAGCTTCAATTTACTCTTGGAAAAATCAATCCCTATCTCTTGAGTATATTGCGACGAAAAAGGACCGAACAGTTTGAGCAGATATTAGAAATAATTAAAAGAGTGATCGAGGTTTTTTTTAACCGTGCAAAACTAGAGTTGTAATTTGTTGAGGTGAATAAATTTTCCTTCTAATGTTTTCCCTACCCACAGGTGTGAATTTATTTAAATCTACTTTTCGCAGAGAACTGATCAATCTAAATTATTAAAAGAAAGAGTTGGGTCTCATTATAAATTATTATTATTTAGAGCTAATCGCATAGATACACAGAATTTAGGTCGATCTATAGGGGAAGTTATTGGCAAAGGAGCTTGCAAGGAAATTTGATAAATTTTGAAAGAAACTTTTTATTTGTTTTCTGTTGTTTGCAAAAGCCTAAGGAAATAGCTTGTCACCCGATAAGCAAATTTGAAAGACTAAGTTGAAACGATGAATATTATGTTTGACAGGGGGCTTTTAAAATTTGAACGTTAGCCAATCCTTTCGATAATCATGTTGAAACCAGAGTAATAAAGGTTTTCAGGCTTCGTTTCGAAAAAAACGAGCCACAGAACTTGGCGCAGAAACTACCGTGACATAACTTTCCCAAAGCTGGCAAGCTTGTCGAGTAAACAGGTTACCTCTCCAATAAAAAATATTTCGTGTTATCTTCAGAAATGAGAACTCATGAAGGAGGCTGAGCAGCCATGAATATTCTAACTCAGCGATTTTGTTTCCGAAAGTTTCATTCCCTTAGATTACAATTTGAAATCGTATAATTATTTTTGTAGATACGGCATGTTTTTGTTCCTTTTGTTTTGTAAATATGGGAACGCCAGAAGAAACTGTCGGTTTTTGTTATTATTCTGGAGAATTTCCAGCGAATGATGAAGACAAAAAAAAATCTTAACAATATGGATATCACTTTTTACCTATCAGATAACTTGTCAGCATTTCAACAACTCTTTCCGACGTTTTCATAAGCTTCAATAAAACACTTTTCATAAGCAACAGGAATTAAATTTATCACAGAATTCGACAAAGTCTGGCTTTCTCGAAAACTGGAAAAGGAAAATTGCGATTTAGCAGAATTTTGACTGAAAAAATGAATTTTGATAATTTTTATTCTATAGAATGAAACTTACATTAATTTTGGGGAAAAAAATTGGTATATGCGAATTATCATATATATGATATTTGAAATATTCCCCACGTAACTGTAAATATTAAGCTATGGGATGATTCTTACACAGTGGTCTTTATTTGCTTTTCGCAACTTCAGAAAATTTAGTCACTTGTTATCCGTAACTCAGGACTTGGAAGAAATTCAAGCATCAACTTATAATAACATTTACTGAAAACGTTTTAAAACTTCAGCAGCTTAGAGTGACATCTACCTCACCATTAATGATTGAACATGGTCGTTTGCAAACATAATGTTGTGAAATTGAATGGCTCGCGTGTCGCTCGTAACAGCCTCATCTTATAAAGCATCTGCAGGAGACATGATTATTTCAATGCCGGAAAATTTAGCTGTCGCTTAAGGCGAAATTTAGTTAATGAAACTTTAAAAAAGATGAATTATCCACATATTTTTTTTAGCGTTTGAGGACTTCATGCGGTCAACGTTTGTACCTTATTTCTCTCTGATGTTAATTTTGGAATCCGTGAACTTAAATTTAGTAGAGTTATCTGAACACCGCTTAAAATGGATAGAGTGATATCAAAAAACGATAACTTTAAGGGGGATTTTCTTTCGCTGCATGTGTTACTTTGAACTGAGAAGGGGGGAAGCTCAATTAATCTTCATAAAATGTAAACAGTCCCTTGATAGAATTAAGAAGTTCCTTTCCTGGAAGCTGTTTTGGATTCATGTTAAGTTCTATATACAATTGTATATCACTTCGAATAAAATTGAGCCAACGGGGTGTATTAGAACCAGCAGGAAGCTTTTGGCGACATCCATAGCAAAACATTAAGCAACCGCTGGATATCGATTAACGAAGAGAGAAGAAAGGCGTATTCATGTTATTATGGCTAAAAAAAGGAAAAACTCAAATGTAATGTCTGCCGATTCCAGTTTAATAATCGTTGGACAAAGTTAAGATTTAACCACAATGAAACTTTGTTCGGAATTATGAATAAGTTAAAAACCCACTTAACGTTTTCAATATTTCCATTCATGGAGAAAAAATAGGTAAAAACATGCAAAGGAAAATAATATCCTACTGTTTTTCTCCTAGTGATAGAGGAAAACTCAGCAACTAAACTTTACATTTTGGAAATAAACTGCATGATATATGGAGACAAAAGGAATTAATGCTCCAAGCCGTTATTTTCCTAAGTCGCTTTCAGAAATCCGACAAAGAAAGTTCCGTGAGAAAGAGTACTAGAATATGGGATAATTTCGCGAAAACAAGCATGGCAAAATTTTCCATCTCCTCAAGGCAGTAACCAGTGAATAATTTATTGCCGTAGCTGTCATCGTGTTAAACTTGTCCATCCAGTTACGCCTGTAAGACGAGTTAAGCCTGCTGAACTTGCTCTACGTATTTTCGAGAAAACGTACGTTATTTAATTCCAGCAATAATGAAAATGCTTTTTCTTGCCGACTGCATGGTGTGAATTTAACAAATGTTGAAATTAAAATTTATTAAAAATTATTTGCTGACGAGTGAAGTTTACGGAGACATTTGTTCAATACTTCATTAAAACAGGTTATTTGCTTTATTTTCATTTAATCGCTTGTGCTGGAGAAAGGAACATTTCTATATTTTTACTCGTTCTGCTTTCATGGACTTTATTTGCAATTGGATTTAGCAATACACCGCTGTAATAAAGCGATTTCCTTATCAGAAATTCAGCACCTTTTCATTCTTCTGACATTGTATGTAGCTTATTTTATTTGTTGTCTGCCCGAGATATCAACCGTGTCTTTTTAGGGAAGGTACGTTTTTTCTTGGGGGAGGGGGGCTGGGGAATTTTGGTATTTTTTTATTTTTTTTTTTTAAAAGTGTTGGTCCTCCCTTGCGTTTTAATATATATAAAAAGAAAAAACTCCTGACCCCCCACCCTTAGTGACTGACAAAAGTGTGACCCTCCCCTCACTACTACATGCTATGTTCCATGCCGTAGAAACCTCAGAACATTTTGCTTGTGAACGCAAAATGTTTGAATATAAATATATTTCGATATTGAATGTGTGCTAGCTGAAACAAGAAAATGCGAACAGTCAGTGTGGAATATTTATATTTTATAGCTGAAGTTTGAATATGGAAGTATAAAATTTGATACTTTGTAAGTCCTTCTCCAGCTACACCAACTCCACGACCCTATCCCGATTATAGCAAACTTCGCGACTCTCACTACCTACCAAGTACGAAAACACCTACGAGTGGCCGCAAACCTGATGATTATCAGCCTCGAGCTCAAATAAACAGTTGTTTCGAGAGGGTAAGCTCAAAGCAAGGGATAAAAAGACAGTCAAAGAGTTCTCTGAAAAATACATTGTTTCAGAAAAGCTTGTTGCAAATTATATTGAGCATCTAAGTGACATTGAAATGATAAAAGATAAGCGGCTAACAGATAATAACAGGAAGCGTACAGAAAGAAAGCAACAGGAATACAAAGACATTGACTGAGAAGATCTCTATCACAGAAACCAGATGTCATCCCTTAGAGTTGGTGAACTTGAACTTTATATTAATCACCACAACATTGAGGGTGAGGGTGGTGAAGGCACATATTTGCAGTAAGATTTTGACTTCTACTGTGCAGGACAGTCAGAACAACATTCAGTCAGCCTCTGACTCAAATTCAGAATCTGACAGTCGCAGGGTAGAGCGCATTGTTAGTAGTAACTCTTCAGAACTAAATGACTCAGAGGATCAGGCAGCGGATAGTTAAATGGAGCAAGAAGGTGAAGAAACGATACCTGAGTCTAGTACGTCTCGATACGGACCGAAAAGGAAACGAGTCCTCCGAGAAAACTGTACCATGTCATAATATACATGTCGTAATGTCACCTAGAGCCTATAATTAAACACCAAATTAAATCAAAGTAGGGGAAAAGAAAAACTTAATCTGTAAGAATAATTGAAAGCAACATTACAAAAATCCTCATTAAAAAATTCTGGAAAAGGTGTGTGACCCTCCCATTGAATAGCTTACAAAGAGGTATGACCCTTTCCTTTTTGTGCTCACTTTCGACTGATGACCCTCCCTTC